CGGAATCGTTCGCTTGCTATTGGCTGACCCGTAAAGAGATGCCCCTCCCGTTTTCCGGGGTCATCTCAGAAAGTGGGGCGTGCCGGGGACTTTGATAGCAATTTTAGTAGGGAAATCCGCCGCGCATAACCATAATTTTATGATTTTTAGGATCCTTAGGGCCTGTAGATTGAGTTACCGCCATAAATAGACCATCGCAGAACGCTCCGGAGGGCCCCTTTAAGCTGATTAAGCTCGGTCGGTGGCTGATCATTTAGACTTTTCATGCCGCATTTTTTTTTTATTATTATTAAAAGTTACATTTTATTTTTATGAGTTTTGACTGCTTTCCCCTTGGGAGTGCATAAATAATTTAGTTGGGTATGTCACTTTTAATTCTCAATTGCTGAATCATAGATAGTGTTCCCAGGTGAGAAAGGAAGTGATTTGCTAACCTTGTCCTAGGACATTTGGATGCTCAATGGAGTAAGGGAAACTTGATTCTACGATAAGCTGATTTAACTTTAATTTTGTGGATATTTTGCACCATTTTTTTACTTTATACTTTCACCTATAATTTGTCGCAATCAATGTAAGTGCAACTAAAGCAAACTTTTGACTGTGCTCATGTCAGGTATTCCTTTTCTTTTTCTTTTTGGTTAAAGAATATGACAAACTTAAATTGGGCCAGGCTATGTTCCAATCTTGCATGGCTATTTACAACTTACTATGGCAGGTCATATCCTTTAGACATGTGCCAATCTTCTAAGCTTTCAAATATTAGTTCATTTGAACCTTGAATTTAATTGTAGTATTCAAAATTTTCTTTTTTTAATATTTTGGAACAATGTTTTCAAAATCTGTTATGGCTACCCCCTTGGGTCTCATATTTTTTTTTAATAAATTCGAAAGCATTTCATCAGCACTTCCTGGAACATACATTTCATATTTATTTTTATGAGAAGGAATTTTGATTTCTCATATTTTGGTGCCAAAGAAGCAACACTAATGACTTCCCTTCCAAAGACATTGTCATTTTCTGCTTCTTTCAATCGTTTCAGTTTGACTCCCTGTTGTCCGGCAGAATTAAAGGCCTCTCTTAAAGGTTCACAGTTGCCAGATGCAAGGAGGTGGCAAATTTGTTACCTGCTGTGCATGGCATTACAATGAGCAGCTGCTTTAGATGCATTAAATAAGAAGTCATTCCTGCATGGATATTTATATACCTAGAACCCCATATATTTGGACAAGAGCCTTTTGAAACAGCTGTAAACCAAAACTTTGTGAAGTGCAAGGCAGCATATGCATCATATAAAAAGAGCCAGAAGCACTAGAATGATGTTGTAAAACCAGTCAATAAGCTAAAAGCACTTGTGTTTTGTGCTTCATTCTTCACACAGCTGTTTTTTTTTTTTCAGGAATAAAGCGAGCAGGTTGCAAGTTTGATCATTTTGTTTTAAAGATGAAAAACCTGTAGGCTCAAGGGCGCGTTCGAATATCTTTCATCTTTTGTGCTCTACGTTCTACTTTCCAATAAAACTTGACTGCCTTCTCATTTGGAGGTATTAAAAATGTGTGAGACATGAAAAATAAGTACATTCAGAACACTGATATGAACTTGAAAAGTAGTTACCGTATTTACTCGCACAATGAACGCACTCGCGTACTGAACGCACCCCCCAAGTCGACTCTCAAAATTTCGACTTTTTTTTTTTCACTCGCGTAATAAACGCACCCCCAACTTGGACGTCAAAATTTTGACCCCCTCCCCCCACGCGCGCGAAATGAACGCACTTTTTTATCCTGTTGCAGCGAGGTCGCGAGTGTATGGGCAGCGTGGGCGAACAAAGCGCCTTGCAAAAGGCGTTAAAAAGATTGGCAAAGATCCAACGGAAGCAAAAAAAAAAAACATGGAGAGGAGCTTTTTTTTTTTTTTTTTTTTTTTTTTTTTTTTTTTTTTGCACAGCGCAGTTTGGACTTTGGGTTCGCGTGCCGCCGCGCGCAAGGAGGTAAGAAAGAGAAGCGGAGAAGCTCGAAACAGCTTGCGAAAAGCGGCAAAAAGAAAAAAAAAAACAAAAAAAAAAAAAAAACCACGGAACTAAGAAAAAACAAAAAGCTTTTTTTTTTGCACAGCGCAGTTTGGTTACGGGGGGGTCGCGCGCCGCGCGTAAGGAGGTAAGAAAGAGGAGCGGAGAAGCCCTCTAAGCAAACGAAACGGCTTTCGAAAGGCGGCAAAAAGAAGGAAAAAAACAAACTTATGGAACAGAAAAAAACAAAAGAAAAAAAAGGCTTTTTTTTTTTTTTTTACAGCGCAGTTTGGTTACGGGGAGTGGCGGCGCGCCGCGCGCAAGGAGAAAAGAAAGATAAGCGGAGAGCCCTCGCCTAAGCAACGCCTAAGCAAACAGAACAGCTTGCGAAAGGCGGCAAAAAAAAAAAAAAAACCAAGGAACTAAGAAAAAGAACAGTTTTTTTTTTTTTGCACAGCTTAGTTTGGTTACGGGCGCCGCGCGCAAAGAGAAAAGAAGTTACTTCTATTTTTCAGGATAAAAGGTCGGTTCATTATGCGAGTAAATACGGACGCAAAAATTTTACTTCGCGTAATGAACGCCCCCCCCCCCCAACTTTGTATCGATTTTTCATTAAAAAAAGTGCGTTCATTCTGCGAGTAAATACAATATATGTGAGAAGTCTACATAGTAAAAAAGCAAAAACTCTGTATGTTGGTGAAAGAAGAAATGCTGTGGGAAATAAAAGCAAAGTTTAGAAGTCTAAAAGTAAAATCCGAATTTCTCTAAAAATAAATTCCTAAAGCTCCGCTGAGGGCTCTTAATGGCACCGATGCGCTGCAGGAAGGTGACACTATGGCGCAGCTTTCTCGTTGTGCAATCTTGCTTAAAGGGAAAGAGAACTTTTTAAAGTAGGTTCTGAAATTGTTGTTTTTGTTGCAGCGCTTTTTTTCAAAAAGGACAATTGTTTGCTGAAGTCATTGGAAAAGCAAGTCAGGGTTTCCTTTGCCCCGATGCGATGCGCTGCAAACGCAGTCACAATTTTGGTTTAAGTCTTTATACACAGCACTATGGTAAAACAATGTGATTAGCAATTCCAAAAGCTTAGGTTATGCACCATACATATTGTAGAGTTAAAAAAAAATGTAAAAAAAAAGTGTCTAGCTTTTTCAGTGGAGTTCTAAATCGGCCCTGTTTTAATTTTAAAAAAAAGTTTTGCCTAGGAAAAGATTTTTTTTTTCTTACCATTCACTTGTAAAACTATAAGTTGCTGGCTTTATACTGCAATATCGTTTATTGGCTAAATATTATTCAATACTACCCTTGAAGAGCACTTATTTTTTAACTTAATAAAGAATTTTATATTTGACCAGAAGCAGCTTTTCCATCCTTATTTTATTTAAAAGCTATGAATGTTTTTCTTTTTTTTTGTGAAAGGGTTTATTGAATTTATAGTTGATTAAATCACTAAATGTGCTACTTGCACATGTATTATTACTCTAGTGAGGTCAAGCAAGGTTTAGAACATTTTTTTATACTGGAAATGCACACCTATCTTTTTTGTTTTAAATGAATCATCTAATGAAGAATACTGCCCATCTACTGTAAATGACTTCATTTTTGCAGAAAACTGATTTTCGTGAATTTCACGTTTGGAAAGACATGGCAGAAAATTGATTATTGGAATACATTGCCTCATGTTAGTAAATACTTGCATACCACACTCAACCACAACATTTTGTGCCAGCGAAAAATTCCTGAAACTCGCACTTCGCAAAATTTGCCAAATACTGAGCCCGCAAAGACAAAATTTTTTTTACAGTATCCATATCTGTCTTAGTTCCATTGTATGTTTTCCCTGCATTGTAATTTTTTAATATATATATATATATATACGGTTTATATGTTGGGGTAATTGACACAAACTTCTCCGTTGGTCAAGACTTTAGTGTTCATTTTGTTGTGTATATTGTGTCTTGTGGTTTGTTCAATTGAGTGTTGCATGTGTCTGCTTTGTGTATGGTTGTGTTGCAGTTTATGTTTGTGTTGTTGCGATGCATTTCACAGAAATGTGGCAATAGTCTCATAGTGCCAAGACTATGATTTTTGGTGGCACCCTGACTAGTGTGGCTCGAATATGTCGAAAGTGTGGGCAGTGCTGGTGTTAGCAGGGATGAGTTTGACATGAAAGTCTGTCCCTTCATTAAAGGGATGCAAATTTCTCGCATACGAGGATGAGCTTGTGTATGACTCTTAGTGACAAGATTCATTGTAAAAAGTTCAAGAAAAGGCCTACTTAGAAAGTTCAGAATGGATAGAGAGACTGCCAGTAGAGAACCAGTGAAACTGACGTTTGTGGTTGCAGTACACACGCACAGCCATGTGCAGATTTAGTGGTAGAAGGTCGAAGTGACCAGAAGACTGGTGCTGGGTAACTATATTTCAGAGTTTGCCCGCACATTTACACCGACTGCACACTTGGAGCCACTCGTAGGTTTTGGCCTGCAGAAATGTCCTAAATCGAGAATCTCTTAATGATTTGCTTTCAGCCACTCGTTATGGATGTTACTAAAATAGTTGCTCGTTCCCACTGCAAAACACTGAACTCTTGGATTTCGCATCCCGTTTAACATACCCTAACTTTTCTATTGACGCTGGCCACAGAAAGCGACAACTTCTCGTCGCATTTGGCACAGTTAATTTGTCTTTCCAGAAGTGCAGTAGGAGGCACGAGAATTCGTAATGCCCGTGGGCAATCTGCTAAGTGAGCCTGCCCTAACCTAATACAGTCTGTCACGCGTCGTCGCTTTTGTTTCCTTTGCGTGTCTTCTTTGATGCGTGCGAGTGCCCCACTTTCCCGTGCATGCGTCCCCTCGCGAGCGAACACCACTTGCCTGCGTCGAAGGGCGCAGTGCCTGCCCCGGTGGCTTGAGCACATGCATGCCGCACCAGCACGCGCGCGCCAGAGCGCCGTCACGTAACTCACGCCACTCTCCTCGTTTTCTCTCCCCACAGCTAGTGGCCGCCGCTGCCTCTGTGCATCACGACCTTAATCCCATTAACGAGGATTGAATGGAAAGAGAAACCGCCTTGAAACGGCCGTGCGTGTAGTGTGGTGTCAAGTGGAACGACCAGTCTGCATGTGTGTCTGTGTTTTCTCTTCTTTTTTTTTTTTTTTTTACTTCTTCTCTTTTTTCACTTACCTGGCCCATCGAACAGACTAGGAAGGACTGTTTTACAGAGAGGCACGTGCCGTGTCCGCCCCTCCCCCCCACTCCCACTTCTACCCGGTCAACCTCAGCTCCGACCGCCCTTCAAAATACCGGCCCATTGCCTCCGCCCCTGCCTGCCCCATCACCCCTGCCACCGCCCTTTCATTTTTTCGTTTTTGCTGCAGTTTTTTAAGTGCATCCGATGTTCGGAGTTTGGGGGGTTCTGCTGTGTCCACCCGTCACACTGTGCACCGAAAGTGCTGTCTTCGTTTCTTTTTTATTTTGCTGTAACTCAAAGTTTCGTGCGGGTCTGTGGTTTCATGTCTCATGGACGGCCCTGTTTGTGAGTGTTGTTTGGGAGGTGACGACTTGCAAAATTGAAATACAAAGGTTACTTGAACAGTTGGAGGAGGAGAGGCTTATTTATGTGTTTTGTTACGTGTAGCTCCGCGTGGAAAGGGCGGGATTTGTTCAAACTCCGAAGGCAGCGGGCCACTCCTGTACTCAAGTGCTTCACGGTGTGAGAGGAACTGCGCTTTTTCCTTTCTCCAAGCGTATGTGTTTGTGATGACTTTTAGTGTCTGCATTTCTTTTTGTTGTGCCACCGATAACCTGTTCAGTCTGCTCACCCTGTGCATAATCTGTTGTTACCATCACCACTCCAACTAGTGCTGTTATTCAAATTGAGATGTTGTTAGCCTTCACCATGACCCTCATAACTGTTGTTGTTTCATACAGTTTGTACTATAGTATCTACAGTGAGACTGCTACAAAGGAGAATGGAACAAAGGTGCTAGTGAGCCTCTTTTAGTGTTTTTATTGAATACACATTAAGACTACACTGTTCCACGGTACTTGGACTTAACTGGAGAGAAGCAGCTGCAATGTATAGCGTCCTACTGTTTTGTTTTTGGCCGGCACGTCTTTCGTGTCGGCTCGCTGTGGGTTAGGGACGGGCTTCGTCTGTGCACCGGACACCTCTGCCCTGGGACTGTGCCGCCCTCTAATTTTAAGTGTGAATCTGTAAAAACTTGAGTGCCATTTCCTGAATGTCTCGTCTTATGCCCACACCACATTTTAATTGCTGCTTTTCCTGGCTGCCAGCTTCAGCTTTCTCTGTTGCCTCTACTGTAACTGAAGACTGGCAATTTGAATGCAATCGTCAGTGACAAGGTTCTGGCTCCACTAAGAGTGGAAGATGGTTTTAAACAATAAATGCTCATGCCACTGCTTCACGAGAGCAACACAACTTTTGTCTTGTGCGAAGTCTTATTAACAGGTAGTCGTGCTCTTTTCTCTTATTTTTCTGAATGCTAATCGCAGGTCTAGATTGGGTAAGTAACCTAGAACATTGTGTGTATCCACGTGTTGTGTTGTCCTCGGTTTCGGGCCCCGTTGGATTGTGGTTCATCTCCCGCTTTTGTTGTCCAATCGTAAAGCAACAAATGCTGCCTTTCTTTTTTTTTTTACTTTGTTATTTTGTTTATTTTGCATGAAAAGGCATGTTCGGTTGTTGGGTCCTATTATCGTGCTCAAGAGTTTCTTAAACTCTATTGGAGACACCCATAATTAGAGAAGCATGAGGGGTCATCAGTTAGAACCAACTTGGAATTTGCAAAATCACTTCCTCCTGTAGAACCACTCAAATTATTTTTGGCCTCAGCTTGGAACTTTATTTTTAAATTTTTTTGGTAGAATAGATTTATGCCTGTAGTACATATACTTTTTTTTTCTTGGCCTTTGTGAACGCATGTTTTTTTTGTTTTAATGTGGTTGTGGTGTCTTAACACTTAATATTTAACTGGCTATATTGCTGGGGGAAAAAAGCTAATGCAAACTCTAACATTCTTTTTGCAGACACGTCTCTAGTCTTCCACAGAAAGTGCAACCGACTTTGCAATGACCGGCTTCCAGCCACACCAGGTTTTCCTGCATTCAAGGTTTCAGGTGTCAAGAATAGTTGTATATATTTGTGTGCCCTGTAAAGACAAAAAGGAAAAAAACGTGAAACAATACTGCTTTAGGCCTCAGTCCCAAGTATTCAGGACTGAACACTAACTTATCTCTCTCTCTCTCTCTCTCTCTCTTTCTCTCTCAATCTCTGTCCTTTTTTTTTTTCTTGCATCAACCAATTGCTTTTCACCTGTTATTTTCATCAGGTTATGCAGTTTCATTGTGTACATAACTAAATAAAACTGAGATGCCATGCACTCCGTTTATGGTTCTGCTGCAATCTGTATGGTTCATTCGCTCCTTGAACACAGGGTAGTGATGTCACGATGCCAAGCTCTGACTGGAGTATATTTTCATCTTCAGAGGCGGTAGGTATTACTGAAGGGTGGGATTATGACGTAGAAAAAGTAAACAAAGGATAATCATGAAACAGATCCTAGTATTCCGGTTAAAGCATTTCTAAGATCAACAGGAATGCCTGCTCCTTGCACGGAGGGTGCCCAAGCTGTGGCATTGCCTGTTAGTCTTGTCAATGGCTGCGACGAGATGTTTTGGTGGCGCCATCTTGCGGGCGTCCTTCAGTGACAGATGGTAGGAAGCAAGCAGACGACTCGCTACGTCAATGCACGAAATGGCTGCGTTAGCTCTCATTTACCCCGATTGAAAACGGTTTATTTATTAAAGAAACGTGTATGACGTTTTTGTCAGTGATCTTTTAATAAATAACCATGCCTCAAAGGATTGTCTTTTTTTTTTTTGTATTTAAAAAAATTTTAAAATCTTCAAAAACAAGCCTGGAGCTTCACATTGCAGCTTATGCGGGTGTGCAGGGATAGGGGGGGGAGGGGGCACAACGCCTCTTTCTTTTTTTTTTTTTTTTTTTCTTTTTTTTTGTGTGGAGGTTTTAGAAAAATGTTTTGCATTCACTAGAGTAAAGACGTGCTGTCTTAGCTGGGCACAGGCGCACAGTTCTGTTGCAAAGCGCCGCACACTTGTTTTAGCTCCATTGAGCTTGCCGATACCGACATTTCTATCCAAGTGTGACTGGACAGTTGCTGACGAGCGAATACTCTTCAGCCAACTGACGCTTATCTCCTCCCGGATCGAATATCTGGCAAAAATGTTTGTCGCATCGCGGCTTCAGCTCTAAAGAAAAGCAAAACAATTCATAAAATCTTGAATTGTCGTACAAGACCCGGACCCGGCAGATTCAGGCGATTGATTAGTATGTTCTATTCAATTTTTCCTAAGAATTGTATATAAATTCAAAGTCGCTCGCTGAGAAGCGCATTGCACATAATTAGGCATACCGACGGTAGTAATTCATAGCAGGTATGTATTGGGGGTCCCAAAGAGGGGCGGCCAGGCTCTCTAAACCGACCGCAAAATTCTGTTTCTTAACCTATCGCGCTACGATTTTGTGCAGCGCGGCCCGCAGATGGTGCATTTATTATTATTTTTTTTTTGTGAATTTACTTAAGGAAAAAAAGAAAAAGGCTTAACTTTTATGGAAATGCAGCGAAGTCAACGGTCTTCAAACAATAGGGAGTCCTATTGTTTGAAGACCGATGGCTTCGCTGCATTTCCATAGGGACTAAGGCTTAAAGTGTCGACAAGCGCGTCCTTTGGGGTCCAATCACACGAGCGAATGACGTTTTAGCGAACAGCACTACTATTCGCTAAAAGGTCTTAAGCCTAGTTCACATGCAGCGGTTCTGGCCCTAGAGCGGCGCGATTTCTGCCGTCGCGGCGCTCTGGCCAGCACCAGCAATTCTGCGGCACGAGCGCTGCGACGGCAGAAATCGCGCCGCTTTAGGGCCAAAATCGCTGCATGTGAAACAGGCTTTACGATGAAAGTTGGCGTTCGCTAAAACGTCGTTCGAGCAACTGAGTGCCACACATTCGAAATCGATGCATGAGCATGTTTCAGCAATAAGTTTTCTTTCCAGTTACGTCAAAACATCGGGCGTCCCGACGCTCCCTTTTCTTTTTTTTTTTTTCTTTTTTACTTTGGAACGCGTGAAACGGCGTCTCTTATCGGCTCACCCCCTTAGCAAACCTAAACTTCGACGGCGTCCGATTGGGTTCTTTTTTATATATATATATATATATATATATATATATATATATATATATATATATATAGTTATGATTGCGTTCCCCACCAGAGCAGGCACGCTTCTACAATGTGACAGCTTGAGACGCTCAAGTTTGTACTAGAGTCATTCTAGTTTGTACTATCCAAAACAAATCCTCGCCTAACAACTCCCTTTTCACACCGCCTTCTGGGACACTCGGGAGGTCCTCTTTCGCTGAGCATTAGCAGCAGTTAAAAGGCCGTCGCGATCGTCCGTGGGAAATAGATGACTATGATTCATCAAGCTTGTCTGAGTCAAGTAATGGCCAGCAGATGTTATAAGATTTTCAGCACGAAATTTCAGACGATTCACCTTTCGCATTCGATCTGCCGGCATCGCCCTTCGAGGGAACAAAACAAACGTAACCGTTTTTTTTTTTTTAATTTGAAATTTGAGATTTGAAGTAATATTTTCACTGAAGAGGCTCTCTACCAGCCCCAATGTAAAATATATGCTGTGTATTGAAGTGTTTCTGTAAAATCTAAGCTACCGTGTGAGAACATTGGCATATATCGTGTTGCTTATTTTCTGAATGCGAACAGAAAAATAAGCGAAAAGGCAACGCATATTATTTTGTTAACGATACTTTCGGATGATTGTCCGCTAAAAGAACGAGAGGACTGAGCTTATCCTACGATCCAGTATGTTTCATTATGATTGCCTTTTCTACAAGTGCACGTGTTAACGGTAAAATAACGTGTTTTTTTTTACACGAGTTCCTAGTTCCTCCACTCGACAATAGATAAACCATGTATCAAAACATAATAACCAAAAACAAGCGAATCCCCGATTATTCGACGCGTACCTTCGACACTTCAGAGAAGCAGCATGTCAACTTCAGTGTGGATCGAGCTTGTAGCTCGTCGCACCACTCCCTTTGCAAGTTGGCTCCTCGCCCCACAAAGAGGACCGCTCCTGCGCGACGCCATTTACAAAGAAGACCCACGGGGGACCGTATAACAAATACAGAGCGTGTTTTGGGGGTGACGGGATTTTGTAGCTTTTTACTTGTATTTGTTGTGCTACGTCATAGAGTACACACTGTACTCCTCCGGACGCTTTCGTGGCGAAGGACAAAGATTGGCCCGTTAGAGCCTGCTGCTCAAGTGCGTTTTTTTTTTATTCTTTTTTTTAGGGGGGGGGGAGAGGGGGACCAGCTGAATCAATATGGCGTCCCGTGAATACCCCCTATAACAATACAATGCAATCCACTTATAACGATACCACATATAACGACTTACCGCCTAGAAGTTATAACGATTAGTTTGAACCATGTGCTTCTGCTCTGAGTCTATCTAAAAAAAAAAACGCATGTATAGGGATGGAATATTTTAGGCCCATCGGGCTACAACGATCATAAATGCGCTGATTGGAAGATAAAAAATAAAAGAAATATCGGGCAAAAAGTTAAAAACACGCTTGTCACGCGTGTATGTCATACGGACACGCCTCGAAGATCACCGCAAGTTCTGGCTGTGCGTGCCCTGAAGCCGACCGTTATCGTCATCACCGGCATCAGTCGTCACGGAAAGGAAGGTTACAGCAGGTGCAGCGACAGGCCCCGACGATGTACCCATGGGACTCATAACGACAGTTAGAAAAACAAGTAAATTGAAGTTATGGCATTTGATTACCCAAATAATTATGGGAAAAGAGGTACCCGATGATTGAAAACTAGGTCGAATGAGACTAATATATAAAGGGAGAGAGAACAAAGAACATTTGGTCATATTCCCTAGTAGCACCATATGTTGCCATAACGTGACTGGAATGTCACAAATGTAATGTAACGTTGGGGCACATTTGGGTATGTTATAGCAATGTTTGAAAACTAACGTAACAGAAACATTCTCCTGTAACATTGTTTGACTGTCACTGAATGTCATGTAACGTTACATCACATAGGCAAACGTTCCAGGAATGTTAGAGAAGCAACATTGGAGCAACGTTTAGAAATAACCTCTTGGTAACATTTCCATCCTGACATACGGGCAATGTTATGCAGCGATGTTGGCCTAATGTGACGAAATGTGACGCATCACCACATCACACAGAGGCTGGTCAAGGATACACGAAGATACCAAACTTATAATAGTTCAATGTTGATTCTCTTGTTCAAATATTTTTATTTTTTTACAAACAGAAAGACCGCTCTAATGCTTGTGACGGGCGTGTTTGAAACAAATGTTCAAAATGTACCCTGGAAAGATTACAGAAAATTAAAAAAATATCTGTCCAAAAGGTTTATGATAAAATTGAATTCATTTGTGTGTATGGCATTTCCTTGCTTCCTTCCTGCCCCTTAACGGGTTGGCGAGTCTGCTCAATATTCACGAGCTAGCATGCACCCTCATCATAGCCTTTAGGTTAAGGTCATTCGAATGTCCAGCTTTTGGAACGCATGCTAAAGATAACAAGAGGGTGAAGTCATGGGGTGTTATTGTGTTATCAAAGGTGGAAAACTCACGCTGGTGACGCGACGACCCAAAGACCTCCCGAACATGTATAGGATGGTATGAGAGTCGTAGCCTGTAAATTAATTTGGAACACGTAGCTAGCCGAAATTATCACCAAAAGTGTATTTTAGTTGTGTGCTCTATTGCATTATTTTCGAAGCGTAGCTCTGTTTCTGTGAAAAATACGAACATGATTACCCTACGGCCAGGTCGCAGAGAGCTCTTGGGGTCGACCGACTGCTCTATCCGACCCGAGCTTGCTGCAAAATGATTTCTACTATTTAAAAGAGAAGCGAGGACTAATTTCACGACGGACTCAGGTCAAATCGAGCGACTGGGTGGTTCTTACTCTCGCCTTGTCTCGGTTGTCTGCGCCAGTGCTTGCCATAGAGATTTAGAGAAATCTTGGAGCGTGCAGTATAAGATACACCCTGGTTGAAAATTTGAAATAGTTACATGCAGAAGCTCATATTTCAGTCCAATTTACAGCTCAGCACTCTATTCGGAAAACTCAAAAAGTGGCGGCTCATTGCAGCACACTGCAAGTGAGACGACTGGCGGTAGCCATTGTCTCATAGACAGAGGGGAAAAGGGAGACGGTTGAGGGGGAAGGTGAGCGATGAGATGGGAAGGAGAATAGAGGCAGGAAGAAAGAGGTCAAGT